CCGCTGCCGCACATCAGGTTCTTCAGTTTCACACAAGGGGACTTTGCTACCAGGAGATTCTGAGACTCTTGTGTTAGGAACCACTTCTTTTACTTCCTCCACTATTACTGCCTCACCCTCATTGGGTTTCTCCTCTTCCAGTGGCCATTGTTCATCAACATCACTCTCCTCCTCATCTACATCAGCATTCTTCGTTTTATCCCCATCATTATCACCCTCACTCACACTCTCCATGGGTGGTAAAGGAGTCACCTCTTTATTCTCTTCCACAGAATCTGTACCATCTTCCTTGATTGTACAGAGAAGGTCACCCACACCCGAAAACAAAACCTTTAGATCCTCCTTTCCTTGAACATTCCGAAGAGTGGTTGTGCGTACATCGTCATCCAGCATTACAACCAGAGAACCCATGTGAACACCAAGCACCATCGCCTCTCGACCTTCAAAGATCCTACCAGCGTTTCCTTTCAAATAATCACCATGCAACACACCGAACCGTTCAAGAGCTTCTGGTGACATATCACAATCTTGGGTAACACCAAATGACCCACAACAGATTAATTTATCACCACGAAGAAAGAAACCTGGAGGACTCACAGCACTAATTCCATCTTTTTTATTTAACTTCGCAGAGTAGTTTGTTCCACGGGGAATGAAATCTCCACATGAAGCAAATGAACTGGTAGTAGATTCAGCAGTTGCTCCACCCTTTTTTTCATCTTTTTCGAGTTGATTCTCATATTCCTCCCACAAAGGTTTTTGTTTTTCCTTTCTATTTACTGCACTAGCAGAGTGTAGAGAAGGGGGGAGTGTAGTAAATGGTACTGAAACATCTTTTTGACTTTCACACAATCCGTAAATCTCACACAGAGGACGTTCACCGTAACAGTACAGTAATGGTTCGATACAGTAATTGTCACAACTCTCTTTAACGGCAGAGAGTGAATCATTATTTACACTATCATAAGGTAATCGAATTACCCACGGTAATCCCCAGGCAACTCCTACAAATTGAACACGGACTGACCATAAGGATAAATAGTATACTTTTTTAGTAGAGACACCGAAAACATTCTGTAGAGTGACCTGATCAAGAATAGGAGACTTCATGTATTCTTTACCAAGGGGTAAATCAAATGAAATGGAGATATTTCCATGTTCGTTATTGTTTGGGTTAAAATCCCATGAATAGTAATGACAAAGTTCAGTATAAGAAATTTGAAGGATAGGTGAAAAACGGTAAGCACAAATACCATTTTCTGAACTCAAATATGGTGTGGGTAGTAAAAAGACATTCTTGTGTTCGTCGTATCCTAAAAAGACTGGAGTAAAATAGTTCTCCACTCTATAATCATTATCAGATTCCGTTCTTTCCAAATAAAACGGTAATTCTTCCTTATTATTGTTTCGGTATGTCTCTCGTAACTGCATCACAGTTCCATGTAAAGGAAGTACAGTATTTTCTTCTTCACCAACATTTGATTCGATGCCCTCACACTCTAATGTCAATTCATTCACAGTGTCCTCCTCGCCATAAACACTGCTACCAGATGCAACCATACCGTTTTTCTCATTACTATTGTTGTTGTTGTTGCTACTACTGTTGCTGTATGTACTAGCACTACTCACATAACTCTCGCTGCAGCTAGATCCCACATAGTCACTGTCTTCATCCATCTCTTCGCTTTCCATGGTAGGCCTGTCACCCGACCATTTTGGTAATAAAAAATATATCGCACCAAAAGGACCTTTCAAAAGAACTGCTTTCTTTTCTTTATCGTAGCCGGCGAACGACGAGTTAACGCAAAGTGGCATTATTTTTTTTTTTTTTATTTCTTTTCTAATATAAATGTGGGTGTATGTTCTTTTTTTTTTTTTTTTCCTCCCACCAAGAGGGGGAAAACAACTAAAGGATTGAATAGAAAAAAAAAAACACTTAGCAAAAGAAGAGAAATATGTTATAATCTACAAATATATAAGTTCATATTATTATTTTTCTCACATATGTTTTTCCCAATGCTTCTCTTTTAAGCATTGTTGTTTTGTTGTTTTGTTGTTGAGTTAATAAATTAATGAGACAACTATGGGGGCCATCAAACTCCACAATTTAGATCCCGACAATACAGTTGTGTTCCGAGCAGCAGGCCAACGTAATAACTACGGCATATATATATATATATATATATATATATATATATATATATATCATTTCATTTACTTCCTCTTTGTTGAGTGTAATTATTTTATTTCTTACCTTTTCATCTCTTTTGAAAGGTTCATGCCTTGCGAGTGAGAGAGAAAGTTTCAAAGAACAAAAAAGAAGAAAAAAGAAAAAAAACATAGTAAAAGCAATCAAATAAAAATAAACAAACAGAGAAAAAAAAAAGCATATTGTGTCATAAATCTTTCTATTGCGGGCAGTTACCACCTTTGTGCCCATATTAAATTTAACGTACAAGTGTGAATTGTGTGATACAAGACAGGGGTAGCAGTCTCGGGAAACGAGGGTGAATTTTATATTGGTGCGTGTAATAGTAAAACAACGGAAAAAAAAAAAAGGATACAAAACTGAGAACTTCACCCGGTAAAGGATTGAAAGTAAATAATGATCATAATAGTAACAATAAAAATCATGATATTTCAATAGTGTAGTTATTAACCCTTAGTAAAAGAAGAATCAAAAACAAAAAAAAAAGAAAAAAACAGAAAAAAAAGAATATAAATTTTGCTATATAAGAGTAAGAAAAGGCGATCCCAACATACTTTCCATCTATCATCACTAGTAACCCTCCATATTCTTCTTGTGGGGTGTTTACTGATGATAGTAAACGAAAAGAAAAGAAAGAAAAAGAAACAGTGGTCGTCTTTTTGTCTCTCAAATGTAGTGTCTCGCATAATGATGAAAGGATTTAAAAAATCCACCACCAAAACCAGAAATTAGAGAAACAAGAGCCAATAGATATACAAAAAAAAAAGACATGATCAATCTCTAAAGTGAAAAGAACAGTCAATAGAAGGCAACTTGATTTCAGACACACTACTTTCATCTCCTCCCATTCTCCTTTCTCTTACATGTCTGCTACGCCAGTAAGGATCTCTCACTATTGGTACACAAAGACCAGTCTATAACCAGGTCTCACATAACTGTGAAAAACAAATTGTTTTTTTTTTTTTTTTTTTTTTTTGCACGATAATAAAAATAATGAAATAAGAAAAAGAAAAAAAAAAAGAATCTACTTTTCTTTCTTTGTTCATCCTACTGCTTCACATGACATTTCTTCATCTCCGGTTCTCTGCCACCGCTACCACCGGAGGTGTTGCTGCAGCTATTGCTATCATTGCAATTTCCCAATAGCGGAAGATACACCGTGGGAATCGCAGCTGATGATGATGTAGATGTAGTTGTAGTTGTAGACGTAGATGTATTCTTCTCTGTCACGTTGGGAAAACCACCCCCAACAACGTTGCTACTACCATTACTACTACTACTACTACTACTACTACTACTATCATTACAACTACGTTCACTCATTTGTACATCCTGTACGGCTCCTTTCTCCAAAAATTCTTTCGCCTTTTGCATAAATTTTTTCTTATCGATACGTCTCCATGGATGCAAGGGTTTTGATGTAGTATTAAATTCATAAACCGGAAACGAAAGACCTCCAAGGTGAGAGGCGTAAATATGTTTATCTTCCGGTGGTGTGTGGCTAACTACAACGCGGTGAAACAAATCAAGACCTTCATGCGCGCTACCTTTTGCGAATAATGAGTGATGATGATTTTTTTTCGGTGGTAAACTCCCGTGCGACTCAACAACGGTGGTTCGTGATGATGATGATGATAATGTATTACTATTGCTATTTAAGAATACACCACCCTTTTCCTCTTCCTCACGAGCCATATCAATAAGGTATGATCTTAAATCTAGAATGTACTTATCTGTCGTCTCTGATGGATAAAGGGCATGTTCAAATTGTACAGATTGTTGTAATTGAAGACGTCTCGCAAGTTTTTTATTCTCTCCTCTCGTAGCCACTGCTCGTTGAGTTTTGGCACTAGAAGAAGAAGAAGAAGACAAGGACACAGAAGGAGAGCAAGGTGATGTCGACATCGATAACGATGAGGATGAAGATGAAGACCCCAATGAAGAAGATAATGGTGTCTTAATATTGTTATTCGTATTTTGTAGTGTAACCTGCAGTGCTTCTTCAGCCATACTACTAAGTTTTTGCTGCTGTTTAAAATTATAGAATGTCGCACGATCATACGCACGTTGAATAACATGTTCCTCCACATAATTGCGTAATGCCTCCACATGTGTGGTATCAAGTACTGAAAAGTCAGCGAGCGGTGATTTACTACAGTAATCACGCTGAATGGCAAGAAGAATATGCTTTGGATCGCGGAAACGACTCATAGCGGAGGCAGTGTATGTATTAAACACGTGTTGATCAAGACTAGTGTCTGGCTCCCAGAGGTATCCTTCACATCCTCCAATATATCGTGTGTTATTTCTCAAATAGTACGCACACTCAAGACTTGCCATGAAACACGCATCAAAGACGATTGCCTCAAACTTTTTATCACCAAAAATCGCCGCAAGTTCGTGACAGTGAAGTACTGTGCGGTTACGTTCAAGTTCAAGGTGATCACCCATACCGTGGCCACCGTACACAAAGTAACTGCGGCCGGGATCGTACCAGCGATGTAGAAAGCGCTCAAGCATGTCTTGTCGGTAACCAGCAACATTCTCATAGTTCTTCAATGTATACTCATGTCCATTAATGCGTGCTTCGAAGCTACCACCGTGACTGTTAAAGGCCAAGATTGAGAGATCTGTCACACCCTTTACCTTTTTCATTTGAAGAAACTTCCAGAAAGGCCACGCCGTTACATCGTTAATGGAGCTAAAAAGCACAATTAGGCGATTGCATCGACGTGATCCCTTTGAAGACATTGTAATATATCTCTTTATTAATGATAATGTTTGCAGACTTGTATAAATAAAATGCCACCAATGCTATCTTCACGTGTTTTTTTTTTTTTCTTTTTCTCTTTTGCCCTCAATGTTCTTCTCTTGACTTCACCTTTCGTTTTTTTTCTTCAATCAATGAACTGTATTTATGGAAAATGTCTTTACTCCTCTCTTTGTATGTATTCACCTCTGTTTCTTTTTCCTATCCCTTTTTTTTTTGAACCCTATTCTTCCCCGTGGGTTATATATGTATCACTTCCCCCTGTTGCTCTTCCTTTTTTTTTTTTTAATTTGTTAGAATGAATCCGCTTCCGCTGATATTTCTCTATTTCTTTATAATTCCTCTTTGTTTGCCCTTACGACAGCTTTTCACCGTATCTGTTTCTCTCTGGCAAACCAAAACAGATCAGTATATTATTGGCGACTTTGACGCTGTGGCTACTACTGCTGTTTTATTTATTTATTTTTTTTTTATCGTTTTGCTTCACCCCTTTATTTAAACCCGCTCTCAAAAGAACGTTTGGTTGTGAGATCTTGGGCGTAATGGTAGGGACTGTACTACTCCCGCTGCTTGTTTTCTCTCTCTCTCTCTCTCTCTCT